ACTACCAAACGGTTGCACACAACTAACGAAGGGCTGTGATATCCACGCCAACCGGATATCACGGTGTGAATCTCGGTCCGTATCGGCAGCAAATCAATGATTAACGAAAACGAATTTTTTTTACCTTTCTTAGAATTATACTAGGGATGAAACTCTCCTACTATATGAAGGAGGTGATCTTATTCAATGAGGCACTATAACACACACATCAAGGCAATATAAGCTTGTTTTCTCTGCTTCTATATATATATATATATATATATATATATATATATATATATATATATATATATATATATATAGACTTTTCAAGTAAAAATGTGACTTTATAATAAGTAGAGCAAAGTAAAATAATTTTTGTGTAACAAAAGAAAGAAAAGTGACTTATGTGTAATGAACACAAAGTTGAATGATTTTTACATAACAAAAAAAAAAAGGAATTTTTGGGTAACAAATACAAAAGTTCAATGACTATGGATAAAATTAACTCCATAATACTCCATTGGCTAATTAATATACACGCCGCTTTTACCTCCAGTAAAACATTCCTTTTCTTCCTAGTGCTAGTATTTCAAGCCAATTAACCCATTAAGGTAAGTATAACAATTTAAGCATTTCATTTTGGAAAAAAAATTCTTATGCAAACAAATAAAACAATGAATTTTTACTTAGCTATATTATATTATAAACTTATTTAATACGAGATACATTTTGACAAATTTATCAATTGTATACAAATTAATGATAATTGAGTATCCCTTAATAGTAAGGCATTTAATTGTTAATAACCATATACACGCCTACAGTTACCCACCTTACTACGTCCCTCATCTACTTGCCTACTTGCTTAAATAACTATTCAAGTTGCTTATATAACTCGATCAGTTGTTTAAGCAGCAACTTAATTGTTTAAATAAAGCAATCATTTACTTAAACAACTATTGAAGTTGTTTAAGCAACTCAATAAGTTATTTAATTCAATTATTTCTCTCTCATTTGTTTGTGATTCGTATCTTTTTTGAAACAGAAGATATTATTAGTGCACACTAATCACAGATTTTAAAAGGTAACAGACAGGTGGAAGAAGTCTTTTTTCGAAGGAATATATATAATTTATAAATAAAAATATAGCTAATATTAATAATTATCAAAATATTATTAAAATCGGGTAAAATAGTTATATAGTATATAAAAAATCCATAAAACAACCAATCAAATGAAATGTTTTAGAGGAATTTTCAGAAACCACTATTGTTTAGTGGCTTAACTTCCTATAACTACTTTTCAGTTGTTACGGTAGTGTATTCGTTGTATTCGCACTGCTGTATTCATGAATACAACAGCAAAAAGCGCCTAAAATCAGGGCAGTCCAGCTGTACGCGCATGTATTCGCGCCATGTATTCATGAATACAGTAACGACAATCACCTTAAAAATAGGTATGTCCAGCTATCTAATAACAAAAATAATATCAATTAGCGTGATACAACTCCTAATATAACTCAACAAAATTAATTCTAACATGTCTCATTATCAACCTAATTAATTAGACTGATTTTTCAGTTGTACATAACTGTTGTATTTAGCGATTCAATATTTTTCTACTGTTGCATTCATTAGATTCAGTGTTTGTATTTACTGTATTCGCTATTTTATATTCAGTGTATTCAAATGTATTTGTGTTAACAGTATTTTAGTTATTCCTAATACATGTTATTACTTCTGTATTCAGTATATTTCATTGGTTGTATTCACTATATTTCTATTTGTATTCACTGTATTTTACTGTATTTCACTGTATTTCAAAATTAAATGTCTTCGCTGTTTATATTCTGTTCTATTTTAATGTTTGTATTCAGTGTATTTCAATGTTTATATTATGTATTCATGCATGAATACATATGTATTCAGCTGTATTGAAAAAAATACAAACCTTCGAAATACATGAATACAAGCAAAAAAAAAAAAGTATTTACGCAAAGTACAATGTATTTGAGTGAATTTGTACTGAATACAATATATTTGTATCATTGTGTGTGACTAAATAGCAAAGAAGAGAAGAAAGTTCGCCGGCGATGGCATTTTCTGGCCAAGCAAAATATTATATACATTGTATCAAAACTACAAATGGAGACGAATAAAAACCCCGGCCACGAATCTTCTTCGGCGTAAAAAATATTGCAATATCCGTGTAAAGGAATTCATTGTAATACCCGGCGTAGAAGAAAGTCACAGTTGCCCTCTTGTTTCAAAGTTGTTGAATCAGTCATTGAAGAGGAAATTTGAAGTTTTCTGCTGAAAACCTAACAATGGTGAAGATTTTTTTTTTAAAGTGAAGAGAAAAAGAAGAAGCTTGAACCGGCAAAAAACCCAAAAATTTTAACACTTACCACAATTGTTTGGAGCAAAAACGTTGAAAGTGAGAGAGAGAATTATGCTTCAAAAATCGCGAATACAATCTTGCTGTGATTTTGGGAGAGAATAACTGAAAGAATGAGAGAGAAAAATGGTACATAACGTATTTAATGCCTTAATGGTAGCGTATACCATAAATACCTATTTTGCTATAAAAAAAAATAAAAGATAGCTATAGAAAATAATATTTTAAAAGGGTTTTGATTTATAATAAATAGGATATAAACCTTTGCTATAGGATGTAAAATTTTCAATGTTTGTTTTATAAGCAGCTTGGAGGGGCATTTGCATCTATACCCAGTTTTTTGGTCACCTTTTAACCTATACCCGCTTTGCAAAAAAAATTGCAAACGTACCCACTTTTCGCGTAACTTCAGACATACGGGCCTGAAGTAGCAAAAATTTATGTCTGAAGTTTGAACTTCAGAATGTTTTGCCTGAAGTATAGCAAAACTTCAGATATTTTTGCCTAAAGTTTGGCCTGACATGCAAAGGCAGTCCCGCAAACTTCAGTTCATAGTGCAATGGCAAACTTCAGTTCAATAAAACTACAGCATGTTTTGGCTGAAGTTTTTGTTTTGTAATAGCTGAACTTCGGCATTCAGGAGCTGAAGTTTGTTTTGTAATTGTTGAACTTCAGTATTCTAGGAGCTAAAATTTATTTTGTAATTGCTGAACTTCAGCATTCTACGACTGAAATTTGTTCTGTATTTGTTGAACTTCAACATTATAGGAGCTGAAGTTTTTGTTTATATTTGCTGAACTTCAACATTCTTAGAGCTGAAGTTCAAAACAACAATGAATTTAATAGATCATGATTAGCAGCGATTGATGCTGTTCATTTCAAAGGTTAAAGAATGAAAAATATTTTCGACATGAAAACAAGTTACTACAGATAAATTAGAACCAAAAACAAATGTGCTTGTAAAGCTAAAATATCTAAGAGGTTAAATTATTGTAAATAAGACCAAACTGAACATAGTGGGACAACCAGGCGCATAACAATATCCCAAGTTTCAGCATTCAGAAAATGAAGGAGGAGAAGGAGGAGGAGAAAGAGGCCTGAAGTTGTTTAAAAGTGGGTATAGATTAAAGGAATTTTTACCTCCTATAGCAAAGGTTAACACATTATTTATTTTAAATAAATACCATTTTAAAATATTATATTCTATAGATACCTTTTAATGTTTATAGCAAAATATCTATTTTTGGTTACCTGCTCCCCTTAAGCCATTATATACGCTGTTTTTTATTTCTCTCTCTCTTTTTTCAGATTTTTCTCTCACATAATTACTGTATTTGATGTAAACTTCTCACTACATGTTCTCTATCTAATTTGATACACTCCATCCTCTTCCCCCATTCCAGAAAACACGAAAAAAGGGGGTAAAATTCTTCTGTTAGCATTTGAGAAAATAATTGCTACTGCATTTGATTGATTTACTCAACTTTGGGCTTCTGATTCTGTAATCGAAGAGACTCTTGTGCTTGGGCCTTGGTTGAATCGAGGGATTTTCGAAAGGAGTGAGTGGCAGCATCCAATTTCTGTTGTTGAATGGGAATTTCTCTGTCAAAAATCAATCTAAGTTCCTCCATTTTCGTCCTCATCGTTTCCACAACGCCCCTCTTCATTCTAATTGTTAGGAATACTGAATTTGTCGTGATTTAGTCGACTTTAGGGATTCCGTTTAGAAATTTTCTCCGGCGTAACAACGCAATCGGAGGCAACGGTGACGGCGAGACGACTAGGGTTGTTCTTGAACAAAGACGGCGGAGTTTGGGGCTGAGCAACTTGAATTTTCTGTTAATATATTTCATTGTATTTCAATGTATCTCGCTGTATTCTATGTATTTCATTGTATTCATTGTCTTTTTTTTCATTGTATTTTAATGCATCCCGCTGTATTCTATGTATTTCATTGTATTCACTGTCTCGCTATATTCCATGAATGTATTCATATGTTTTTTTTAATTAATATAATTTAGGTATTCATATGTATTATATAATTTCTCTGAAGATTGGTATGTTTTTGGGGAGTTTTTCGGTTGAGAATCTTTTCTATAACTTGAAATACAAAATTTGTTTGTTATAATTGAGTTTGTTGAGTTATATTATGAGTCTATTATGTTAATTGATTCACTTTCCGTTTAAAAACAGTGTAATCCCCTGTTTCACGCCGTGAATACAATCGAATACAATAATTTGTCCAGCTATAATCCCATGTTTCACACCATGAATACAGTCGAATACACTTGAATACAAAAATCTGTCTAGCTGTAATCCCCTGTTTCACGCCTAAAAATGCTACTGTATTCATGAATACAGTAGCTTAAATACATCAAATACATCTTATAACGACAGAAAACGTATCTACAATCCGTAATATAGCAAATGATATCTATAGATAGCTAATTACCACTAAAAGATAGTGTTTTATGAAAATTTCTCTAGATTAAATGGGGGCGACCAAATAGGATGCCCGTGCAATTTTTACCAGCTCGGAGGCTTAGAGCCCATGGGGTTGGATCAGCTCAATTTGATATTGGTTTGGGCCAGTTCGGCAATAAAGTCCAGAATCCAGCCCAATTAATAGTCGCTCACTGTAATTCTCAGGAATTGAATTGAATTGTTGAAGAAAAAAAGAAGAAGAAGAAAGGAGAAGAGAGAAAAATGAATGCTCCAGATCGTTACGAACGATTCGTCGTTCCAGAGGGCGTTAAGAAGTAACTCTATTATCTGATTATTACATAGTGTTATTGCATACACTCACCCTTTTAATTTCATTTTTTTTAATTCACTGCTAATTTTATTTAGGGTTTCATACGAGAGAGATACAAAGATCATAAATGCAGCTACATTCACCGTTGAAAGAGAGGAACACACTATCGGCAACATTCTTCGCATGTAAATTACACAACTTTTAGACTGAATAGATTTGCTCTCTTTTGTACATTAAATTTTTCATATTTTTTGATAATATTTGCATGATTTTTGAAAAAAATAACAGGCAACTGCATAGGGATGACAATGTACTATTCGCTGGGTATAAGTTGCCTCATCCTCTTCAGTACAAAATCTTGCTCAGGGTTAGTAGTACCCTGTATTGTTCTCTTCTTTTGTACCTGTTTCTTCAGTTTCTTGTGCTTTTTAGCTCTATAATTACAATTTTTTTAGCCCCGGGGCTTTGGTCTAGTGATAAGAGCACAATGTGGGTTACGCACAGACAAAAGTCTGGTATTTTAGTAGAGAAGGGGAGAGAGGCGGGCCCTTTATCTATTGAGTATCAGATCTTATGCCACTGGCCCTCGGGATTTCTAGGCTATCCACAAAAAAGGAAAAAAGTGCAGTGCCTTTAAAAGTAAGACAAACTGCGTATAGCACTATATGTGATAATTGTGAGTATGAAAATTTAGAAAAATGGCATGTAGCAACTAGGAATTGTCATAGCTTGTTATATTGCTCATAAAGGAATAGCAAGATGCTTGAGTTAAGCTAGTTCTATTCTAAATGTATAAGTAACGGCAAGAATGGTTGTGATGCCCGCGGCGGAGCTAGCTTGAAGAAAGGGGGTTCAATTTAGTCTCCTTTGTTGAAAAATTATACTGTGCAAATAATAAGGTAAAAGTTAGTGTTTTGGCTATAACAAGCTGATGAATCCCCTTGACATAAGGAAAATTCTTGTGAAGTGGCAAAGGGGGTCCAGAAATTGCTTTAGGTCACAGGTTCATATCCCAGTTGTTATATTTTTGGATCCCGTTGTATAAATTCCTGGCTCCGCCTATGCGGTGAGCATTTGCGAAGAAGGATGAATACGAGGAAGATGGGTTTGTATTCACTATTTCACTAGATAAAAGCCTGCTCCAATTGCATGTAAGAGTTGGTTGAGAAGCTGAGTTGATGGGGTGGAAAAATAAAGCTATGGGAACATTGGAAAGATGTGTCATGCATTTAGTTTCCTAAATTGGAAGGGGAATTTTGGGGCCTAAAAGGAAAGTAATATGGTTGTGTTTTTAGTGCTTGCCTAGTTCAGGTACCTAGTGTATGGTTTTCCAGCTAGTTGATTGCTTTGGTTGATATTCCTCTGCAAAAATGACCAATTTAGATATCAAACTGAGAAGTGAGTAGCGGAAAAAGCTCAAATTATTGACAGTTAAAGAGAGAACTAAAAAGGTTAAATAATTTTTCATTATTGCCTCCTGATACTTGAATCATTTTCCTGTTGAAGCTTTCTTGCTTCAAGACTTCCCTTATGCTATCTTGCACCTTGAATATGACTGTAACAACTAACAAAAGAGGAGGTAAATTTAAGTGGAATATTTTGAGTGGGTCTCTGTGTGTTTCTGTATGTGTGTTTGTGCGCGCGTGTGCTTTCTTTATTTCATTTTTAGATGACTGCGGAAAATGATGTATTACATTTGACAGGAGAAGACTTAAGGTTGTAGGTCGGACTTATCCCAAATCATGTATGACTAGCAACTGAACTTTTTGCTATAGGGTGATTAGAACAGTTACTAATTAAATTAACCACCTCTTTTTAATTCAGTATATGCTGTTTTTCACTTTTTGTTAACTTATTTATCAGTCTGGCTGTTGGTTGCATTTTTTATTTGTAGGTTTTATTTTAGTTTTTATTAGTCGCTTATTTGATTTATTAGCTCTTCATTATGTACTCATGTTTCAGATTTGCTGGTTTATACGATCCCAAGGTTGTATTTACCTCAGTAATGTTGGAAGAATAGAATCTTTATTTGGCTTGTAATATTCTCCCTGTTCAGGGGTGTATATCCTGAAAAAGTTGCTGCTAAAGCAATCATGTCTTCTCGCATGACTCTTCGCACTGTATTCCTTGTGAACTTATATATAATCTCTGTACAACGTGTTTCTAATTTGTCTGTTGGATACTATGGTGTTCTACTGCAATCTTGTTTGTTTATGCACTTTAATCTCTCTGGATTTGACCTGTTGATTTGCAGATTCAAACAACAAGTCAGTCCTCACCTATGCAGGCATATAACCAGGCCATAAATGATCTTGATAAGGAACTTGATCATCTGAAGAATCAGTTCGAGGTACAGTTATCTTTTAATTTTTGTCTAGCTCGTTTTAAGTAGACTTTGTTTATGTACTATCATCTGTTCCTAGCATTATTGCAGACATCATTTTGACTTCGGATTTCAAGATGTTCAGTAATGTTCAATTGTCATAAGAACAAATCGAGAGACTTAAAATATATTAGGAAGTTTTAAATATTTGGAAAATCATTCACTTTTTACTTGAATGATTGTATGCTTCTTCAATACTTCTTTTCATTTCTTTTCTTTTTTTGGGTTGGATTATTATGGTTCCCGTTCTTCAGTACTTAAGATGAAGCATCAATTAAAAATCTTTTATGTAGTGTGTTCTTTATTTTGGTATGAAATATTATGGTTCTATGCTGGGGTGGATGCAGAGTGTTAAAAGCATCTAGTGAATTGAGTTCGAGCTTCTTTACCTTCTTGAGATTTATACTGAAGCTGTTCAATTTCTCACCTCGAACTTGACAGTTGACACTGATTTAAAAACTCAATTTAAAAGCTGAAATGAGAAAATGTAAAGTGATGCCTATTCTTCTAGAGTTCCTTAATACTTTTCAAAATGGACAGCTAGGTCCTATGACCGTTCTCCTGGCCGAAAATTCATGACGGGACAGCTCACACACAAAGAAACTCCTTTCTCTTTCCTCTCCTTTTCGTGCGCCAACATTGTCTTCCTTTTTACTGCCTAATGATCCAAAAATCCATAAAACCTCGAACAAACAGAAAATACCAGTTGCCATTCTCTCCCTTCCCCAATGCTATTGAAGGAGGACTCCACTTATTTGTGAACAGTTACCCCGTCCTTTAAGCTGCTCAATTACCCCTAGAGAAAGCCCCAAGGTTTTGAAACTGAGAGCTAAAAGTGGTTGTCGTTTTCACACCACTTGCTTTACCTTGGTCATCGACGTCATGGGAAAGACAAACAACATTTATAGACTCCATTACAGAACATAAGAAAAGGTTAAATTGATGAAAGAGGATAGGTGAAAAATCCTCTTTGTTGGCGTTTTCTAAAACATTTAACTATGAGAATCTTCAAAATCTAGTCATATAAATAGTAAGATTGAATAGAACAATCATTTTATCTCTAGATCTACCATGATTTAGACCGAAGAGAGCTTGTTGAATCTCGTTGCAGTAGTGAGACGAAATAGAGAGAGAATGGGAGCTGTCGCCAGGGGAAGAGCCACTGGCTAGTCTGATACTAATGTAGGCCTTCTAACTCGGTGAGTTTCTAGAGTTAGAAGATTAAGACGTATCCTTGGCTATTAAGCTATGATACAACCTTATGCGAGGTTCTTGACATGTGATTCGAGAAGATTAGTGGTAACTTTGCTTAGTGAAGTTTGGATATTAGTAGAAAGATATCTAGAGTGAAATTAGTTCTTTGGCTTTTATCTTTAATTCTCTAATCTCGAATTGTTTGTGTTGTTAAAAAACATGAGCAGGGTGAAAATAGTGAATATGAGTGAGCCTAACCCTGTTATCACTATTTAGAATAGGAATCCCATTGGCAAATAATCCCAGAGAAGCTTCAAATCAAGCCAAAAATTATCTTTAGATGTGGCCCAGTCTCAGCTTGGTCATGGAGAGGGGGTTGCTGATTCACCTCTCTAGCTGATTCTATTGTTGCAGAATCAGACACCATTTCCAGCGGATGCTATCTTCCTTTTTTTTTTTTTGGTTGTGTTGTTTTCCGTATCACCATTTTGTTTTTGTAAACCCCTGGTCCGTCTAGTCAATTCTATGGGAAAATACTCCTACATATATCTGACCTACTTACTATTTAGAGAGTGAATTCTTCACATAGAAGAAGCTTTATAGATGGGCTAACATATCTTCCTAACTGGCAGTAGTGTCCAGCTCTTAAACTTTGATTCACTCTAATGGCTTGTATCAGGTTCTGTCCATGCATCAGCTTTTGCATTTTCATTTTCACATGGTGATGAGCGAATGATTTTTGCTTGAAACATTCCTCTGCTCGTTCTACTAACAATGCTTAGTTCATTTTCTTGACTGTAGGGCGAGTTGGCCAAGCACTCGAGGGAATACTAATCTATTTGGCAGTGATATTTGGTTCTCAACGATGGTGCTTCGTACAGTTTCCTAGTTCTTAGTTCTGTCTAGGCTAGGAGTTTGTCTTGTCGAATCTTCGTCTATATGTATGTTGGACTAACAACTACAGTTTGTCTTGGGCGGTTAGCCCATGCTTTGTTTAAACTATTTGCTTGCAGTGTTGACAAGCTATACTTTGAATGTCTGCTTTATGCCTCAAAGTTTAGGTTTCGAAACGCTTGTGCATGTTGGTAAATCTTATAGGTGATCAGCTAAGTTGATATCGGCACCTTTGGCACACTTTTTGTATCTATATTTGGTTTTAGTTTGGTTTTTAATTATCTTAACTGTTTACTTTAAAGAAGTTTCAAGTTTCTACAATCAACTGTTGAGGCACTTCTATCTAATAGAGGACAAAATAATTTTAGAGAAAAAATTTAATAAAAGGAGGTATTTTAGAATACCTCACTTTTCCCCATTAGAAGATATCCGTCTTGAACTCGAGACCTAGTGGTGTTAGAAAAACTTCCTCAACCACTTTGACCGCGAGTGACTGATGTCCTCCCATCAACAGGAAAAGTTATTTCAACAAGTCCAAGATTGAATGGGCAGTGTCCATGTGTCAATTGGCAAGATTGAGTTTTATGGCCCAAAATGATAGGCCGGAAGTTTGAGAACTTCTCAAGCAAAAAAGGGAGAAATTCAAAAATAACCAAATTTACATGCGGTCATTTAAAAAATAGCCATAATTTCAAAAGTAATCGAAATTTAGTTACTTTTCATGTAAAGATAGATCTGAACGGAAACACTATTCAAAATCCGGAAAATACTCCAGTATATTATAATAAAGTTCCATCATAAGTATACTGGAACTCCAGCATATTATAATGGAGTTCCAGCATAAGTGTACTGGAACTCCAGCATAATATGCTGGAAGTTCATACACAGGTGCTCCAATCTCCAGTATATTATGCGGGAACTTTCCGCGTGTTGAAGTTCCAGCATAATATGCTGGAAGTTCATACACAGGTGCATCGATCTCCAATATATTATGTTGGACCGGTCCCTGTTGCAGCAAAATAATGGCTATTTTTTAATGACTTTGCAAACGCTGGATATTTTTGAATGACCAGTCCGAAAACTGCTAGCTCGTGCTATTTTAACTACAATAAGGGGTGGTCTTTAACTTTTGACCAAAGTTAAAAGTGAAAGTTTTGTCCATTGATCAAGTGACTTGTCCAAAGATCAAAAGTTCAAAAGTAGCTTCTTTCAAGATCATTTGTGAACTTAACCCCTCTTCATGTTTTTCTAAGCAAATGAAGTAGATGTCTCATCTTTAATAGGAGTATCTTAATCTGTTTGGTTCAAATATGGCATGTAAATTTTTGCATATATTGGTATATCTTAAAGATATCTGAAATCATCTAGAAACTACTTTAAATAGATTCTATGAGAAAAACATATGGGAAGAAAGTCGTTTTTCCTTATTAATAAAATATTTTTCAAGAAAATTATTTTTTGGTATTTGGTTGCTGTAAGTGACTAAAATATTTTCTACCAAACACATTCTCTGTGTATGTATTTGAGTGATCGTGCGCAAGAATGGCAACTGTAGAAATAATTTTAATTGTCCTTTAGAATGAGGCAGGAGAAAATTCACATTCCTTTACACTCTATTTGGATCATTGTTTCCCGTTGTTTTGTAATGTATTTTATTGTATTGTATTGTATCGTATCGTTTTATGAATACAATGTTTGGATAGATTGTATTGTTTGCTATTGTTAAATAATACTTTGTTGTTTGGTTTGACTGTATCGTACTATACTGTAACATATAAATTGGTTAAAATACCCTCAATTGTTTAAATATTAAATTTATTAAAATTATGCATAAAAATAATTTTAAAAAACAAAACAGAAAAAGGCAAAACACCTTAAGAAAGCAGAACAAAGGAGCGAGACAGAAGAAGGCAAAACGAAGGAGCACAGCTAATTAGGATTGAGTTAAAAGCAAATTAGGAGAAAAAATAAAACAGAAGGCGGCAAAATATCTTTAATGTTGGTGGCAGAAGTTCTTGAAGAAAACAAAGTAGGTTATAGGTTGGAGATTTGGAGTTAAAATAGAAAAAAAGGTAAAGGGTAAAATAGAATTGGGGAGTAATAAGTTAGGGCATAATTGAAAAGAAAAATAGGAAACAATCCCACCACACCAAATCGGTTGTTTCAAAAAAGAGGACTTTTCATTGTTCCGAAACAATGGATTTAACAATGCAATACAACCATTTTAATAAAACAATCAAAACAAACATTGTCTTGGGATAACAATACAATACGATACAACGGGGAACAACCATCCAAACAAGCTGTTACTTGAAACGATGTGAACAAGCGTATTAATCCTACGAGGTATTTCACGGTATGTGTTTATATCAAACTCTATTAATTTATCATAGTTAAGTGATATAAATGGTGAGCGTAGTATTAATTAACTATGGTTAGTGATAATCTGTCACGACCCCAGTTCGCCCTCCATGAACTATCGTGACAGCACCTAGTACACATAAATATCGACAGGGGATCTCCCGGGATCCCGTCCCGTAGTCCCAAAAGTAAATACTCAGGGATCTCTCAGTATCCCAGGGATCTCTCAGTATCCTCAATATATGTGCTAGGGATCTCTTGGTATCCCGAGGATCTCTCAGTATCCTCAATATATGTGCTAGGGATCTCTTGGTATCCCGAGGATCTCTTGGTATCCCGATGATCTCTTGGTATCCTCAATATATGTGCTGGGGATCTCTTGGTATCCCGAGGATCTCTTGGTATCCTCAATATATGTGCTGGGGATCTCTTGGTATCCCGCACTACCGTCAAAATAAATATATGTGAGGGATCTACCGGAATACTCATCCGTAGTCCCAAAATAAAAAGACAACAATATCAAGGAAAGAGTCCATAATTTCATTCAAGGATGAAACAATATGAACTAACATAGTATAATGGTAAGAATAACAACAATTACAACAGAGAAAATATCGCAGAAAGAGTACAACTCAACACAGAGATAGCAACCGGGGATCTACCAGGATATCGTCCTGTAGCCCCCAAATGTAGATATCCAGCAACCTGGGATCTACCAGGACACCGTCCTGTAGCCCCCAAATGTAAATACGCAGCAACAACACAAGGATAATCAACTCAAACCAATTAATATCCAAATAGACAGGTAATTCTAACCTAACATGCTGCACAGAGTTCACATAAACAGTTTAAGTAGATAGGACAATTAATACACTTAAGCATGCTTCCCTAAACTACGCCGTAGGCTTAAAATACAAGTAATGTTCAAGAAGAAAGAAACACAGTTAATTTACTTAATGAAAAATGGGTTTCCAACAATTAGCACGTGTACGCACTCGTCACCTCACGTACATGACATTCATATAACAACAATACCAAATCCTAGGGGGAATGTCCCCCACACAAGATTAGACAAGCCACTTACCTCGAACCGGCTCAAAATCAACTCGAAACCACGCTTTTGCCACGAGTACTCGACTCCAAATGGCCCAAATCTGAAGTAGTGAAAAGATGAGGGTAACGGCTGCGCATATCCTGCTCGGTCTCCCAGTTCGCCTCCTCGACCGGCTAACCCCGCCACTGAACCTTCACTGATGCAATGTTCTTTGACCTCAGCTTCCGAACCTGCCTGTCCAATATTGCCTCCGGCTCCTCAACATAAGGTAGACCCTTGTCCAACTGGACTGAACTGAAATCCAACACGTGCGACGGACCGTGATACTTCCGGAGCATCGAAACATGGAACACCGGATGAGCCAAGCTGGGAGGTAAGGCAAGCTCATAAGCAACCTCCCCAACATGCCGCAATATCTCAAAAGGACCAATAAACCTCAGACTCAACTTCCCTTTCTTCACAAATCTCATAACGCCCTTCATAGGCGAAACCCGAAGCAGAACCCGCTCTCCAACCATATAGGAAACATCACGAACCTTCCGGTCCGTGTAACTCTTCTGTCTGGACTGGGCTGTACAGAGTCTATCCTGAATCATCTTAACCTTCTCCAAAGAATCCTGAACCAAGTCTGTGACCAATAATCTAGCCTCACCCGGATCAAACCAACCCACGGGGGATCTACATCGCCTACCATATAAAGCCTCGTACGGTGCCATCTGAATACTGGACTGGTAACTGTTGTTGTAGGCAAACTCCGCCAATGGCAAGAACTGATCCCAGACCCTCTAAACTCAATCACAGACGCACGCAGCATATCCTCAAGAATCTGAATAGTGCGCTCGGACTGTCCGTCCATCTGAGGGTGAAATGCTGTACTCAACTCCACCCGAGTACCCAACTCATGTTGTACGACCCTCCAGAATCGTGATATGAACTGAGTACCTCTATCTGAAATGATGGAAACTGGAATACCATGCAGACGAACAATCTCTCGGATATAAATCTCCACCAAACGTTTTGAAAAATAGGTAGTACACACAGGAATGAAGTGCGCGGACTTGGTCAGTTGATCCACAATCACCCAAATGGCATCGAACTTTCTTAAAGTCCGTGGGAGCCCGGCTACGAAGTCCATGGTGATCTGCTCCCACTTCCACCCCGGAATCTCTATCTGCTGAAGCAACCCACCCGGTCTGTGGTGCTCATACTTCACCTACTGAGAATTGAGGAACCGAGCTACAAATCCAACTATGTCTTTCTTCATCCGCCTCCACCAATAGTGCTGCCTCAAATCCTGGTACATCTTCGCGGCACCCGGATGAATGGGATAACGCGAACTATGGGCCTCCTCCAAAATCAACTCCCGAAGCCCATCAACATTGGGTACACAATTCAGACCGTGCATCCTCAATACCCCATCATCACCAATAGTCACATCTCTGGCATCACCGTGCAGAACTTTATCCTTGAGGACAAGCAAATGAGGGTCATCAAACTGACGCTCCCGGATACGATCAAACAAGGAAGACCGGGAAATCACGCAAGCTAGAACCCGTCTGGACTCCGAAAGATCCAATTTCACAAACTAGCTGGCTAAGGCCTGAACATCCATCGCCATGGGCCTCTCTGCCGTTGGTAAATAAGCCAAACTCCCCAAACTCTCTACCCGGCGACTCAAGGCATCGGCCACCATATTGGCCTTGCCCGGGTGATACAAGATAGTGATATCATAGTCCTTCAGCAGCTCTAGCCATCTCCTCTGGCGCAAATTAAAATCCTTCTGCTTGAACAGATGCTGCAAACTCCGGTGATCAGTTTAAATCTCACAAGGCACGCCGTACAAATAATGACGCCAGATCTTCAAGG